AACTCGGTTGGTTTGTGTTGGGCTTGCCAAGAACTTTTCCTTTTCTTTTTAGGTGTATTATTGCCATCGGATATTAGTTCTTTTATGTGCTCACGTTTACTCTTCTAACAAAATTTTTAAGAGTATCAAAGAGTTGAGGATAGTTGTGCCTTTGATTCATGTGTTTTGGTTTTCATTTTGTTTTGAAATTCTTAACCACATGTTTAATATTTGTTGTATTTTTTTGTATGAGGCTATATTTCATGTATTGTTCAAATAAAAAATGTGATGTTAGCTTATCTATTTCTTTGCATTGCATTTGTTATGCATGCATCTTTCAATACATTAACATTGAGTTTTGAATTTTGAGTATATAAAAGAGTTTTTTTGGCTTTTTGCTGCACATGAAATTCTTGGCAACAAACTTTTGTAGTTTTCTAAAAAATGACATAAGCTAGCAACAAGTCATTAAGTTTTTTTAGGCTGCACCCATTAAATTGTTGCATATAATTAAGGTTCCTTTATATTCAACAACCATTTTTTTGTAGAGGCCTCCTTGATCCATAATTTCAATCAGAAGCATCCTACGGCAAAATAAAAAATGATTTAAGTTCATGTGTTTAGTGTGTACGGGCTGCTATGCTTAACTTGGGGCATTCCTGGTCTCAAATCTCAATTCAATTATCTAAGGCATTTTATAGAAAACTGCTGCTGGATGCATTGCTTCTCCCTTTTTCTTTGGCTAATCTGGCAATTCCATGCTACAACCTTTTAGAACTCCAAAGCCCCAACAACAAGACCTTTTAGTTTATAAGAAGAGAGTATGAGTTTGGATATGAACCAAATCATCAGCTTCTTTCATTTCTGTTCATTTACTCGAAACATCAATCAACTACATGTAAGTTATTCAATTACACTTGGGCTGAATCCTTCTTGATGAGGTTGTAAAATTCAAAAGAATGATACCAGCAAAATGGTGAAATGGTGGTGCTTGCTACTTGACCACATTTGTGATGGCTAAGATACCAGCAAAATAAGTCTTTTTTTTAATTAGGTTGAAAATCCTTTTATGATTAAGTCCATATACAAAAAGAAATATTAGCCTCAAAAGGCTGTAATGAAAATATGAAAAAAATGATGAATAGTAGCATTTAGAGGGAAGAGTTCATAATCCTTAATTCTAAGTTTCGTATATATTTATATAATTTTAAGGTTTGTCGAGTTACACGTAAGAGAGTAAAATCATCTATTTTTTTTTGCAGCCATCAACCTTTAATTCTAATTAGAGAATAAATATTTTTTATATTGATGAGTTATTGTAAAACAAATATAATGATATTATAATTGTTCTTGATTTGATAAAACTAATCTTTGAACCCTGTTTTTATTTAACGAATGTATTGGTTATCTATTTGATAGTAGGAATAGTTGTAAATCCCTAGATCAATGGTGATAAACGCTTCTGGTTGCCTTTCTGGGGACTGGCTGGACGAGCTTCATTCATTCTCAGTCATAATTCTTCCACGTGTCACTCTTGAATAGAATTTGTGATATACCTATCACCTCTGCTCATCCTTTCACTTTGGAGGCTAATTACTTTCCTTTCCTTTTCCACATCTGTAATGCTACTTAATCAAAAGGCTAATGAGTTGTGGAATCAGGACCAACTCTTTTATCTTATCTTCCATAAACAATGCATGAATCGACAAACCATAACAGCACACAAATTGCATTGTCAAAATAGTAATAATTACATTATCCATTAAATTTATCTTACTATCTCATTGTTAAATGTTACTGAATCTTTTCAATTTTAAAAGATAGTTTAATGAGTTAGGTTTTATCTCATACTTATAACTAAATATTTAACTCAATTTACAATCAATATAAGGTAACACAACAATCTTTTTTTTCATACATTGAATTCTAAATTAATCATTTTTCATCAACATGTGTAACACCGACATATGAAAAATTGTTTAATCTGAATTTCATTACTAATATTAGATGTTATTGGATTTTTTTAATTCTAAAAGTTAACTTAAAAAAAAAATTTCTCACACTTATAATCACAACCAACATGGAATAGCACAAAATTCAATTCTACAGTCAACAGCCACCTACAAATTCCTTTTATTTTAGTACCCATTAATCAAAAGTTGCAAGTACAGACAGATGGATGCGATCGGATTTCTTTTATTTTCTCAAGCATCCCAGATGCCTTCTCAAGCCTTCATTACACATCCCACTACAATATTTTTCTTTTATTATTATTTGTATAGGAGATAGGATATCTTAACCTAATCAACTATTTTTTGGATTAGATCCAAGTCAAAATAAATCTATTTTTTTAATTGATTATCATATTGTTTTTTAAATCAAACCAACACAAATTTAATATTATTAAAAAATATTTATGACTAGTTATCTTTGACTCGTCGTTAAATGATGAGTAATGTTCGGTATGGTACGAGGAATTCGATAAAATGCCACCGAGAAGTTTGGATTTCAGTTGACTATTGCTCGATTTTTCATTTTAAAGAAAAAAGTTGGAATGTTTTATGTATATCTCCAAGCTTTTTAAGACATGATGGGCTAATCATGAGTCATCCGGCCCTGATATGCCGGCTCAATCTAAAAAGCTAAACTTTTTAACCAGGCTTCAGATCAGTATTTGAGGTTCCGGCCCAAGCCTGCTCTGAATATATTTTCTTCTACTATTTTATTTGAGGTTCCATCCCAAGCCTGGTCTGAACATATTTTCTTCTACTATTTTTTTTTCGCTAGATATATTGTATCCGTATCTGTAGTACCTCGCACACAGAAAATTTACAGTTGTACTTTCTATATAATATTTTGGAAAAATATATTGTACATGCATCGAATTGGACCAATCTCAAGAAATATTTGTTAAATTCAGTCAATTTACCCTAAATTGGTAACTGGTCAAAATTAGCATCAGTATGAATTTGGGAACTTAACGTGGAAAAACAATTTACACCCTGTCAGTAAAAAAACCATACACATGTTATCTCCCACCACATTTTATGAAAACTCTTATTTACGCAAAATTCTAAACCTTTTTTACGTAACAAAAACGCAGAAACGTGCACGGGGATTTGTTTCTTTTAGGAAATTTTAATTATACACATCTCATAGTACAATTTTCTTATCACTTTTAATTTCTTGTGAAATAGCATTTGTTGATGAAACAAATTTTGAAATCTATACACAAGTATAATTGTCACAGATTGGTCTTCACATGGCCTACTGGTGACTTGTGAGCAAATCAAAAACCAGTTCCGAATTTCAAAACTTTGGGATTTAATATTAAACATCCAAAGTGGGGCATCATCAACATTAATCTAATTTGGTTGAAACAATTGCTAATCTGCTAGCTTTAACTCAATTAAAAGGGCAATCAATTGGAGTTACAACTAGGATTAGCAATGAAAATTATTAGTTATTGAAGGAAAGCAATATTACAACTTTCTTGGTCTGTCTAAAATAATGGCCTCACTGTCTTAATCTCAGGGATTCACGAAAGCTGCCGTGCTTTCGGTAGTTTCCACTTAGAAAAGACGTTGGTATTTAACCACTATTGATTTCCACTATTTTGGATATTAGAAAAATGTGCAAGTTAAATAAGAAAGCAAAGGACAGGGATACTTATCAGAGAAGATTTCTGGGACTCGGAGTTAGAAGGGCCGAAGGCTACCCATCAAGCTAGGAAAATTCACAAGTTATCGTGCAAGATACATGCATTGATCTGTAAGACTCCAAGCTTGAAGGATATGCAACATTGTGAAATGTCCAGAAAAATAGCATCAGACACAGAGAATGTTTATATGAATCATTGTTTCCGAGAAATAGCTAGGAAACTTCGCAATTGCTATTGTTACCTAATTTGTAGCTCAAGTTTCACGCATGGTTCCATACTACAAACTTATGAATTCTCCACAATGACGACTTTCACATATCATTCACACTGAAATCCTGATTGATCGTGAAAGAAAGGGAGAACCAAATCAAAACTCATTGGTGCTGGGAAAACAACAGCTCGAGGCAGTTCGGTAACACTACTTAAAAGGGAAAGAAACAGGGAAAAAACAAGGAGAACTAAGGCAGAACACGTATTTGCCAATTACTTGTAGCTCAACCGACATTAGTGTCCCTTTCCCCCCAAGTGGTCACGAGTTCAAATCTATCATGTGTAACAAAAATGAAAAGAAAAGAAAAGGCAGGACACCTATTTGGAATAGGGAAATTTCTTTTTTACGGCGGCCTGAAATAAGCACAAGAGAAAAAAAAATCACCTCAAGAAGCAATTGATACTAGGATGAAACTAAAATTCATTCTGTATCAGAGATCATGGTCTTTACCGATGGCACAGAATTCACATCCGCAGAGTCTAGCTAGCTAATGCAACATTTGGAAGACTAGAACTGCATTGTGGGAGTAAGATTTGCACAGAAAGCGATGGACAAAAAAATTCTGAAAGGCAAGGAGGTATCAGGAGACCAAGAGCAAACGAGGCTCCCTGTATGTTCCCTCAACCTTATTTTCTTATGCTTGAGATTTAAACTAGAAATGTGAGCCAAGGAATGGATTTTGTATATTCAAATTCTCTTGAAAGCTACAACTTCTTCTAAATATGGATGTTAAATTCTAAAAGACAAAAAGGAAGGAAAAAAACTAAATAAACAAGTTCATCTAAGTATGGATTTTATATGCCTTTTTTTTTCAAAAACTAAAAACTTCAGAATGATTTGACTACATTCAGAACAAAATCCATCAAGGCATTAAAGTACACGAACACTAGAAAAGCGGTTCAGCATTAATTTAACTCAAGATGCTTGAGCAAATAGGAGAGACACTATTGACTTTCAAGACCAAATCACACATGACCCGACCCAATAAATTAACAAAGGAAGAAAAAAAAAAATAGCAGAACGATCTCCTAATCTGTCTACCAAGGTAACTTCTCCAAATTAAGAATCTATAACCAAATCGATGGCAAGCTACATGACCATCTGTACTGGATACCTGTCAATGCAATCATCCCATGGATTACTAGCAGATGGCTTAACATGCCTTAGAGCCTCCCAAATTGCACTGTTACACTTGAAACCACTGCCAAAAGCAATCTGCCACACACGGTTCCCCCTCCGTACTCTTCCCTTTGCCTCGGTGTAAGCCAGCTCGTACCAAATTGAGCTTGACGAAGTGTTACCGAAACGATGCAAAGTCATCCTGGAAGCTTCAACATGAATAGGCAAAAGCTGCAGATTCTTCTCAAGCTCATCAATCACAGCTCTCCCCCCAGCATGAATACAGAAATGATCGAAGGCAAGCTTAAAATCTGGGATATACGGCTTCACTTTTGCATTGAACAATTTCTTAGCAACTAAAGTTGAAAAGAACAAGAGTTGCTCGCTGATTGGAAGAACCAAAGGACCCAGGGTTGTAATATTAGTCTTAAGTGCACCACCAGCAATTGCCATGAGCTCTTTTGACAAAGAAACCCCTGTTTTCCCAGCATCATCCTGCTCCTGATAAACACACTTGAACGCCTTATCATCAGCTCCTTTATGAGTTCTAACCACATGAACAAGCTTATACTTGGCTCTTCTCTTATCTTTAGCTTTATTCGACAACAAAACAGCAGAACCTCCGACTCTAAACAAGCAATTTGGTATCAGCATTGACTTCTTGTTCCCAAAATACCAATTCTGTGTAATGTTCTCAGTACTCACAACAACTGCATAAGTATTCCTATGAACTTGCAACATATCTTTAGCAAGGTCAACAGCAATCACCCCAGCACTACACCCCATACCCCCAAGATTAAAAGTCCTTATATTCCCTCTCAATTTATACTTGTTAACAATCATTGCAGACAATGATGGTGTAGGATTAAACAAACTACAGTTCACAACAAGAATACCAATATCTTTAGACTTGATACTAGTATTTGCAAATAAAGTATCCAATGCACCAAACATCACCTGCTGGGCCTCTTCTCTGGCTGCTGCAATTGATGGTCTTGGTGGAACATGATGCATAGCTTCAGGAACATAAGTTTCTTCACCAAGACCTGATCTTTCCAAAATCTTCCTTTGAAATTCCAATGAAGAACCATCAAAATCACCGGTCAGCTTTGAGTGCTCCATGAATTGTTGAAATTTGACTTGTAGCTTCGATGGAGGCTTATAACAAGCATAATCAACAAGAAAAACGGATCTGGGCCTGGTCATAATATAAACTGTGGCTCCAAAAACAAGAAAAACAGAACAAATAATGACACTAACAAGATTGTATTGAAGGTGAAGCCAAAGTTGGTGAATGTCATTTGGGTGCAACTGAGAAGCTTGAAAAATAACAAAAGCCATTAAAGGGACAAAACAAAGAGTCAACAAATGAGTTATCAAATAATGATAACCCAACTTGACATACTTAAGATTCACACTCTGCAAGAAATCAGGCAATCTTCTTGATTGTCGGATCTGGACTCCATTGGTACTGGTAGTGGTGGATTCGGATTCAGGAGGGTTCTTCATATGGTCTTGTCTATAATTTCAAGATTACCAAGATGGTTCTTCTTGATTTCTTGAATGAATGGTGGTAAGAGAAACAGAGTTAGTGACAATTTATGGTATATAAGAAATGAATGTACGTTTACAATACGGATCTGATGAAGCAATGAAGGAAAAGAAATGAAGGCGGATGAGTTTAGAAGGTTTGATGCAATTACAACAGCGACCCAGACCGAGTGACGATAATTAAAGACACCGTAGATTTTGACCAGACAATTGATGATGATGATACATGAAATATTGTTTTCTCTAGTTTTTGATTTTGATTTTTCTTTTTTCTTCTTTCCTCTCTCTGATCTGTAATGATTTTGGTCCTAATTGGAGAGAGAGAGAGAGGGGAAGGGAGCGGAAGGTTCAAAGGCTGTGTCTTTTTACAGATTTGACTTTGGAAGATGAGGTGAAATTATGAAGGATCTAACAATATACATCCTGCTGTTTGAATTTAATTTCTATTTTTTTTTTTAAGTATATGCCAAAGATTTTTTTGGTATTGATCATTCAATGATTAGATGAACAAATTACAAATTAGTCACTCTAGTTTTCCAAATCGAATCAAATAGTCTTCCTTGTTTTAAAATCTAATTAATTAGTTATTTAATCTGTATTGATCATAATTAATTTATCATAAAAATATTTTTTTCTCATAAATCTTTTCACATTTTCACTTATTTTTTCAATATTTTATAAAGCCAAAATCAAATGAAATTTAAAAAATGACAAAAAATAAGTTAAAAATATATTTAAAATATATGGACTAGTTAATTAGTTTTTAAAACCAAAAAGATTATTTTATTTGTTTTGAAAAAACAGGAGGACTGATTTATAATTTCCTCATGATTAGACAGTTGTTATGTTACAATAACAGAATTGGACCAAACTACAAAGATAAGATGCTATTATAAGCTTCTTTTATAATATGATTTTTTAAATGAAAAAAATTCAAACGCTACAAAATGAGATTTGAACTCCTACTTTTTTTTACACTTATAAAGATATCGTTATCATTAGGTTAAAAGACTATCGATCAAAATCCCCCATTCAAACGTAATTTTTTAACCAAAAAAAGAAAAAAATAAAAATAAAAGAAGAGAAAGAAGAATAGAACAATGAATGCCTGTCATAAATTTCTACTACCGTCAAAATAAGTAAGTGAGGTTCAAAACAAGATGAAGTTCTTTTGTGGAGTAAAAAGTTTAAAATTCGGGTTATGCAACCTGTTTGGGATAAAAACAAAAATGAAACAAAAGGTTATGCAATAAATCTCTCCGAGTTGCTAGGGATTTTGGTTCAAAATGTTATTATATATATATATATATATAGGTAACGTGATTTTAAGCATTTTTTATTTTTTTTCTTATTTCAGTAAAAGATTGTTTTGGTGAAAAAATAATATGATTAAAAAATTTGATTGTAATGATAGATTGAATGTTTTAAATTTTTTCAAGACGGATGAAAGGCTTTGCGTATCATCATATAAAGATAGATGAATATATTTATCTTCTATATTCATAGCTTTCATGTCAATTTTCATATGCTAAAATTAAATTATGACAAAAGTTATGAGTGCCATATTTACTATCAAATTGTGTTAAAAAAATAATAAAATAAATTTTTTAATGAAAATCCATGATAATAATTGTAGATATTAAATAAGCATTATTTTATATAATTAATAATATCTATTAGTATTAATGATAAAAAAAAAAGGAAAGTTATTTTATATGATATATTTTTAAGTGTTTATAGTAAAAGAGGAAAGAGTAATGCTATAAAAATAAACTTTTTATCCAAAATTCTCATACAAACATATGTGAATGATACTCTTTTTTATGAAAGAGCAATTATTTAAATTCATGAAATTCATACTTCATAATCGACACATCAATTTGTGTTAAAATTTGACCCGAAATGTTTGTTTGTACATTATTTTTTAATAGAAAAATAGTAAAAGAGCAAAATAGATATTGAATGACGTTTAATAAGTGCAATAAGGATAAATCCGTAAATTAGTATTTAAGAGCCGTTGTAATGATTTTCTTCTTATATACGAACACGATATTTACTTTATTGTTATTATCATTCTTTATAAAAAGAAGAGCAGAACTCTGATAAATTACAAGTGAATCATTATACTAAAATCAATCTCACAAATATCATTTTAAAAAAATCAAATAAATAAAATAGGAGCTTTTATCAAATATCGGGTACAGAAAATAAAAATAATTAGATAACCAACATGCACAGCACACTTGTTTTTCTCGCGATAGAAGATGCGACAGAAACAAACCTCCTGTCAATTATTATTTTAGTGTTGTTATAATGATTTTCTTTTTATATCCGAACATGAGATTTATTTTCAATAATATTTATTATAGCCGTTATTCACGAGTGTAATACCGTTACACTTATTAAAAAAAAATGAATGAATTGTGTTTTTTTTTTCCTTAAATTCCAACCAATGTTGCATGGTTTCAAACATATTTTGTTAAATTCTTATGATTTGAGTCTATATATGACAATAACTGTTGACAATTTATAGTTTTATAGCATAAAATTTATCTTAAGCAGCAGAGGCAAAGAAACGCCATGCTTAGTCCGGAGGAGGTTTGCAGTTTGCAGAGACCAATCAGAAGACATAGAGACGCTGAATGTACGGGCACATAGAGTGGATAACGAGCTGGCTTTTACCTAACTGACAGAGTGGAAGTGGAACGGAATCTGTAAACTCTGTTATGTGCTTATTTGCATCAGCAAATCTGATTTCTTTGCTCACTTTAATGTGGGCTCTGGCAGATTTTCAACGGCCACTTTCCAGTCCCACAGAATGTATATATTTCTTTATCACTATCAAAAAGTACGCCTTTACAAAGAAAACGTTGAAGTTCTTAGGTTATGGAAAAAATAATAATAAAAAATTTAACTCCGTAACACTCGGTTTATTCACCCAATGCCAAAGTCATTGCCACTTGCAGCTTAGCAGAATCAATGAAGATATTATCCTTATGATATTGTATTTTTTTCTTTGATACACATGAGAAGTTTGAATTTAAAACCTTTTGAGTGAAAAAACCAAAAATGAATATCAATCGAACAGCTCACTGGCTATAATATTGTTTATTATATAAAGATATGATCCGAAAAAAGTTGCATTTATCCTATCCTAAACCAACAAACCAAAACAAAACATAAACCACCAACTACAAATTCAATAACAATTGTCAAGTTCCTGCTTAGTTTTATTTATTTATTTATTTATTTTAGTGGTTGAGGTATATTTAATTAGATTTTCTATAGTGAAATTAAATATTTTTCTTTTCATCTATTATTAAACTAACCAATGATTGAATTTATATTGTAGCCTATGGGAAAGCTTTAAGATTACTATAGAATTTGTTCTTCTTGTACTAACAAACTTATCGTTTGGCATCTCCTATCAAAATCTTATACGCAATAGAAAATAAAATTTTATAAAAATAAAAAATAAAAATTAATTGGATGAGAATTTTTATAAGAAATGATAAATTAAAAAATTAATTAAATAATAAAAATATTATAATATGATTAATATTTTTTTTAAAAAAATGAAACATAACACATATATTTCTTTCTTGTCATTTTGTGTGAAAAACTTAAAAAAAAATAATTTAAAATCATTAAAATTTAAAAAAAATTAAATTATTGAAAATAAACAAATTAAGAAAATAAAATTCGGAATTGAAACAAAAAATATGGAAAAAAAATTAAAAAACCCAAGTATAATACTATAACAACTGCATATTAAGTGCCTTAAATAGCGTTTGAAATACTAAAGCAAACAGTGTTTTGGTTTTTTTATTTTTTATTTTTGCTTAATTTCTCCTCTGCATCTTCACTTCCCACTAGCTACCGGTGCCACAAAACAACTGCCTAATGGGGGACCTGATTCCAATGAAAATTCTTCCAACCCAAAGTTATTAGTATTATAATTAGGAATGGCAATGGTTAAGGCTGTCCCTTCCTCGTCTGCATTCCATTTCTATCCCGTCCAAGATAACGAAAATAATTTCTTGTCATTCAGTTTGAGATGCTTTCAAGATTCTCCATGAAGGAAAAAAATATATATTTTTTTAATTGCCATACAATATTTAATAATTAAAATGCGATGCAAAAATAAATATTAATTTAATATAAATATTGAATTTTATACAAGTACGACTCATAGTTAAACATAAACAATCAAAAGAAAAATCCAACAAAAAAATTGGTTTATGAAATATATTATTAAATACTATGCTGTAATATACTCGTAATTTCCTTAATCTTCGGCCTTTTCAGTTCGCCCAATCTGTTGACAGCAAAAAATAAAAACTGGTCAATGGGCGACCCGGCCCAAAACGAAATATTTTGAAGAGATCAAGCCCAATTATGCCTCACCACCGTACGAAAAAAGTTATACTAGGCTTTAGCCATATTAAACAGGTTGGGGCCTGACTTCTTCTCCAAGACAGAAGCGAGGCTTAAATACCTCCGCCAAGAAAAAAACTAGAATCACCGTCTCATAAACCAAGCAAGAAAGAGGCGATTCTTTCTAGTTACTTCCATCTATAAATTCAGACCAACTTTGCCAATCCGTGCTTCAATTGTTTTTGAGTTTTGTTCGAGGTATGTTTTTACGTTATTTTTTGGTTTACTGAGATTAATTGTTGCATGCCGCGTGCTTATTTTACAAGGATTCGATAAATATTTATCGTTGGAACAGTTTGTTTAAGACGCAAGATAGTTGTAGTTGTTATACAGGGCATAATTATTGAATGGAAGCAATGCAATTACAGTTCTCCTTTGCCTCCTAAGCTATGACATATTAATGTGCTGATACTTTATTTATTCATGTCTTTGTTAGCAGATATGATCTGTTTATGCTGCTATAGGTTTTGATTTGTGAGGAATCAAATGCCCTTGATTGTGACTCTTTTTTTCTTTTTTCTTTTTTTGTAAGGCGTTTATATTATGAAAAGGGTTGTTCATGTTAAAAATTTTGGCAAGTTAAAGTTAATATTCTTGTTGCTTGGCGGGGAGGGTCTTAGTAAGCTTTTTAAGTGGTGATAAAATTACTAGTATAAGCAATTTAAGTTCTGGAATACATAATGGCAACTTTTAGTTCAACCTGACGAAGAATGAGACAAGCCTTTATTTATAAATGCATTCCTCGACTTGGAACTCGACGAATAAAACTACTTTTTGTTGTGTTTTGTTTTCAATTATTTATATAAATTTGCACCTTTTATAGCTGGAAAGAGGACCAACGGACGAAATCTGATACTCCTAGCATCGAGTAAATCAATCTTGTGTAATATTGTATCGTTGGTAATTTGTTTTCTGATTTTTTTTTTCAACAGTTTCATGTCCATGACATTACAACCTGTCGAAATCCTCTAAGCTTTTCTCTGTTGTATTATTAAAAACTAATTTAATGTGCAACAGGAAAAATTTCAAATGGAGACACAGAAAAGTCAACCAGAAAAACAGCAGTCAGCAGCAGCCCTGGATCCTGCCCTCACTTCATGTCGAAAGAAGAAGAAGGATGATGCCACTTTTTTGGAGGATTGGAAGGATCATATCGATGAGTTCATTCGTGCATCTATGGAAGAGCACAAAGCTTGTTTTACTAAGAATATGAAGAAGGTTAATTCCATTTCTATTCAATGTTTAACTGCTAATTGCCAACTGACAATATGCTATTTTTCTAGTGTAACCACAGTGTGTGTGTGTGTGTGTGTGTGTTTTGGTTGCTAATCGAAGACTTGGGTTCTATTTTCAGTTGTTTGGAATGTCGAAGATTGCTGCAGAGAGGAGTGCTGATGCTAAGGAAGTCGAAAGTTCTCTGTCTCTCCAAACTACAGTGGCAAAGTAGAATGTTTTCACCCTTAATACAATAGCTCATATTTGGACGCTAGTTTTGGCTATGGTAGTGACATTTTGTGCAGCTTGATAATATCTTATTACTAAGCTCGATTCTGACAAGTTAAATGCGTAACGTTTGAATTCTACTTAGGATTCCATCTTAGGACTTGAGTGTTTTTTTTTTTCCTTGTACCTGAAATTATTAAATCGAAGGAGCTGTCCCGACATCTTGAAAAGACTCAGAGTAATCCAAGTTGTATCCCTAGAAGTTCATCATTTAATTTCTTGAAGTCTTGGTATCATAAAGTGATGGAATGAGTTTGGTTTTTCTATGTGTCTGTTGCTATCGTATAAATGGTTTCCTTTGCTGCAACATTTTGGTGAGCTAACATGGCGCAGGATGCATATCACTTGCAAGTTTCCTGTCCAGTTTTAAACAATTTGGGTCTGTTGGTCCGTGTTTAAATGGCCATGCACTCAATACTCTGGGCCTTGGTGTATTTCACATGTTTCTTCCTTCTTAATTCAATTTTAAATCTCATCGGAGCAAAGTTTGAATGGGAACATGGTAATTATTTTTCTCGTCACCAATTAATCTCCAGGTGAAGGGACAAATTGTCAGTTTCTTGGGCATCTCCTGTGGAATTTTGTAGTGAACTGCGGCTAAGAGTTTCTGCCATTTTATTGTTTTCAAGCTTAAATTCAAATGCAAACTAAGAGTTTGAAAAATTCGATCAGCCATATACCCTTTCGTTCCCAGTCACAGTTATCTTTATTAAGGAAACCTCACTTTCCTTGCCGTATTTTCTTGAGAATGAATTCAACATGACCAATGGTTGGGCAATTCACCTGGCCTTTCGTGAGGAAGAGAAGATTGAGGACCTTCACTGCTAGTCTGGAAAAGCACCAAAGAAAAGATAACCGTATGTGCAAGCTTGCCGATCAGCTTTTCAACACGTTCACGAGTCGCCATCTAGCATCCCTTTCTTAGGCTTTCAACATTCTCACCGGCTTTGCTTTACAAGTAGCTGGCAATACTATGCCAGGCCTAGTTCCATGTTTTCTGTAGCCAGGGCTAGTTATCTCCGTTTGTGAGTATTTCGTTAACAAGCAAACAGGCGCCATTTCGCATTCTTTGTTAGTTGGGAGTCATGATTGTAGCCATCTTCAGATGGCTATTCTATTGGGCATGAAGTCAGGAACTTAACATGGATCACCCCTAATTTTGTCCGAACTTCATGACTTTTTATCTTGTCAAAACTGATCCAAACCAAACCCACAAGTATAAGAAACCAAATGATGTCCATTCACGTAGGACTCCCAACCTACTAGCAATATATAAAAGACTGATCGCAAGCAGTATATAGGCACTTCTAATGCCTAACCCACTAGGACCACGAACCCATTGGGCATTATAGAGGCTTTTTTTTTTTAATGGGCGAAAGTGTTCTCATTCTAACTTGAATTTAAGTTCTTTTAATGTTTGAAAATAAAAGATAATGTAGAGAACAAAATTCATTCACCAACCTGACTAATTTTTATGCAGACAGATTGATTTCGTATTCTTTTCATTTTTGTGGTTTTACGTCATAGGAAAAAGTATTATTTGGAATGTAACTTGCTAGCTCGTTGAGGTTGAGAGCCAATTAGCCAATGACACTTCTTGTACGTGAATATAGAGACAAAGGCCTAGGGCACATGCATCTCGTAGACTGAGAAAGTTGTTCAACGAAACCAACCTAACATCAAACCTTGATGTTGCTCATTCTTATCTTAAGAAGGCAAACTGTCCTATCATTAACCTTCTAAAGTCTTAACTTAGGCCTAAATATATGGCAAATCATCTTCGAGGCTTGGTATATAATAATTTCTTTAAGTAGCAAAGACCTACAACTTATTTGGCATTTTATAACTCAACGCAGCAAGTGCGGCATATATTGAGCACATGGTTGCCTTATTTTTATCAAGCCTGCCTGTTTAGGACGGCTTGTTGCAAGATTAGATTGTTTATTAATCATGTTCCGATGCTTAATAATAATAATAGCCTACAACTAGGAAGATCCAGAGTTTAATGAACCAATAAGGTTGTTACCTTAAAATAATTTGTCCCTGAGAAGGGTACATGAGATTCTGTACAGCGAACATATATATGACCATTTCTTCTTGTTCTTTATATGATTAACTATCCAAGCCAACATTGGATGCCCTTTCTAGCTGGCCAATTAATCCAAGTAGTACATGCAGGCCATATATATGTTGTTGATGTTTCTCCATTAATTTAGACCAGGCATCACCATGGGATTTGACAAAATTCACTGTAAATATCTAAATTCAAAACAACATTTAGTCAATCATCTAAGATAGTTTGAACTAAATGAATTCTAATCATTTAACTAAGTAATCTTGATTTTGAATTATTATGTATGCAGAAAAGTTTTTAAATATTTGTTTTTATTTTGTGTACCTAATCAAACAATGAGAGATTAATTTTTGATTTTTAGGTTTGGAATATCTTGAGGATCCAAAAAAACCAAGTTTCAACTAAAAATTATTATGAATAATGCTTAGTTTTAATTACCAAAATATATATTAAGTCGCATCTTGAAAATTTTTAATGGTTGGATTTATGGCATTTTTAGTACTTAGTAATTTCAAGAAGTATATTCCACAAAATTAGCTTTACTCTTTTTATTTTTCTTTTTTTACCGGTCTTTAAATTCATAATGCCTTTGATCTATCTCTCTATATATGGCTTAAGGAAATAATAATAATTTTGTTTAATTACAAAGGATTAGGAAATATCAAAATATGAAAATATGCACAGGCAGTTTTTAAAATAACCAAATTTCCCGCCTCTTTTACTATCCTCTTCTCTATTTGCTCCAACAAAAGCAATCCATAGCTCTCATAATTATCATATTATCTTTATTTTCTTGGTTGGTTTATACTGAGTCCTCCGATTATGCAAAAATTAGACGTAGGTCCATTAATTATATACTATATACAGTTTAGATCTCAAATTTTCATCCATGTAATTAACTTCATGTTGAAATATTATAATACAAGAAAAGTAAATGCAACGAAAAAAGAAGAAGTAATGACATAAGATAAATATATTTCATCGCTTAGAAACTTAGGAACATGAGGAAGGGATTATAGAATCATAAAAAGATTCAAGATGCCTTCCTTAATACATCAATTAATTATGTGCTTCAATTAGGAGGACAACAATAACATAAAATAGGTGACAACTAGAATATATAATAAAAGAAAGGGAAAAAAACAAGAGTAGGATCACTGATACAAGAGTAGAATCACTGATTTTGATTCTTCAATAACATGAAGTTCATAGAGCTAGCTCACTGGAACTTCATATTTTTCATCCTGCATATGGCAAAAAAAAAAAAAAAAAAAAAGATCAACACGTTTTTCATCAAAAAATCAATATATATATAGTGGGCAGGGGGGATGATTCATGAAGTTTATGTTGGTCCAGAAATTATGCTTTTTCTGTAGCTCAAAACTCCTGAAAGAGAAATACCATTAATTAAATTGTACTAGCTTCTTAAGTTTGAAAGCTATATATTTGGTTGTTGAATTCATACTTAGGTTGTCAAAATCAATATTCATTGAAGCCACGTGAAAAGTGCTTGTGGGGTCACAAAAAAATTTAGAAATTAAGAAATTAATTTGGAATAATTTTGTACAGTATCTTTCTCTTTTCTCGCAAGACTATCATTTCTGCACGTAATTTGGACCATTTAAAGCCAGCAGTCTTCATGAGGGCGCTATCTATTCCTGTTGGTGGAAGCTTGGATTTTGGTTTGGATTGTAGATGCACAGGTTTAGCCATTTGAGAGTCAATATCCAAGTGGTTAAAAGCTAGAAAAATTGCTTGAAAAAGAATAATTTTAAACAGTAGATCCCTTCTATAAGTCTAAAGAGCCAAAGAAAAGAGTTAGAGAATCCATGTAAAGTTAATAGAGTTAGACAGAAGTGGTGACTCCATGCCACCCCACTTGATTAGATTCAGCTACCTTTAATCATGGCATGACATGGTTAGCTATAAAGCCAAGTCTTGTAAGTGACCATATTGTTATATTATAGGTAGCTAAATATGCATGTGTGACTGATTTTATTTTGGTTATTTAGGTGAATGAGTAAGACTTATTAACTGCTATACCTCTTTTCCTCACCAGTATTTGCGTGGCCATTTGCCCCAGTAGTCCTGTAATTAGGGAAAGGAACACGGCCTGACTCAATATGCTTCACATCCTCCAGGAGGAGTTCATAGTGCCTTTTCACTTCTTCTGCAGTTTTTCCACCAACTGCCCTCGCTACATTGTACCAACGGTCAGGTGTGTCCTTGTCATACACAGCCAAAGCCCTTTCAAAGGCTTTGTTCTGCTGAACAGTCCACGAGCCCGAACCGCGAGAGGACATTGAGCTTGATGCCATTTTTTTTTTTGAATGATGTTTTGTTGTGAGAAATTAGCTAGACAATTGAAAAGAGAGAGCGAAAGGATATAAAAAGTTGATGTATGGTTATGGAGAGGGTTGGTGCAAGGGCAAAGGATGATGATCGATCGAGATGGGTGGTTAAAAGAGAAGAGATTGCAAGTCAAGGATGATATGTGCAATAGAGGTGGCAATGCCTGCTCTTTATAGGCAGAGGTGAAGGTGGTGATGAGGTGGGGTAGGGCTAGTTGGCAAAGAAATCTTGCAAATGCAATAGAATTTTTTATGATTTGTCTCCTTAGGAACCACAAAATACTGAAGTAGACCAACAATGTAGGAGAATCAGTATGTTCAACAATTAATTAACAACACAATTAAGTCCTTTTCTGTCTTTATAATCCACATCATATCTGATAGAAAATATAACTTCGTAAATTCTGACCATTTCTCAATTCATATACTTAAAAACCAAGAATATTAGGAATCACCAAAACAAAGTAGAACCATATTTTGCAAATAAATAAACTTTATTCCATCAGAATTCACGTGGTTTACTTCAGTTGGAACTTTCTTCTCTCTCCTTGTACCACAGGGTAATTTTATTAAGTGTTTTTTTTTATACATAATATGAGTGGCGAGTAGGCTATCTCAAACTTTTAGCATAACATATCGTCTCCCAAATACCCTCACATATATCTGAATGGATTCCATTACAGAAACCTTAAAAGATTTAAAGTTTGAGGTTCCTCCTCGAATAGTGCCACATGGAGTTGCAACGACCCGAAATTGTAGTTTCATGACTCGAAACCTTACTCTCTTAACGAGGCAAATTAGTTTTTAACCATTGGACAAATCCCATGTTAGAAATTGTATTGAGTTAGAGCCTTAAATTTTAATGGAGAAATAAATGAAGTAGAAATCCTTGGTAGGATTCTGCATCAGTTGAGATTTTATGCAGATTATTACTCCTTTCCTGCTTTTATTCTCTACTCTAACTACACAGAGGGCTCTGAGTTAGGTGGTCCCTGCTAAAACCATAACCAGACCTTACAATTTTAACTTTCACGTGTGCATCACAACCCCATATTTTTTTCCAAATCAGAAAGGTTCTTTTGCAGCAAAAAAAAAATCCCTTATGTTCTGTTTCATTATTATTGAGATGATCTTGTAAGTGCACTACGTCCTAAGCAACATTCCAAGCAAAACTAGCTGGCTGCCTGATTCCGTACAATGATTATATTATGTTCTCTTCCCAGAGAAAAGGTCAGCATATGTTACCTGCCTTTTATAGCTTTTGGGACCCTCTCTCTAGAATGTTAGGTTTTCCCTTTGGGTCTATTGTTTTAATTGGCTGGCATAATCAGGTTCTCCATTTTGTATGTTCTGCTTATGTATATTGATGCTAGAATGTTCAGACATTTAATTAGCAAACAAAGTGTTCTATCAGATAGTTCTTCCCTTCTAGTCTTCTTTGATTAAATGTTAAATGAACATAATCTTACCAGTCCCATCAATAATAAGTTCATGGTATTAACTAGCACATCTTTTCACCATTCACTGTATTGAATATTGACTTGTTGATGTTCATTCATGAAAGCATCAACATTTGTGAACACAAAGCATGTTAATCATGATAAAAATAACGTTAGAAGAAAATAATGTCGGCGTGGTGAATAATATCGATATGGAAGTGTCTATGGAAAAGTTACCAACAAGGCACAGTAAAACGTGAAAAATGGTTTATCAGTTCATTGAACTATGGAAGATATTAGTCCTTCAAGGCTCCAAAGTCCAAACAGGTTCAAAGTATTTGTCACGTAGTACAATCTTTAGTAATTAGTACTACCATATATAACAAGGGAATGATCAATAGATGACTTCTCTGCTTCGTTGTTTCCTCAGGATGGTGCACAGGAGTCACAATGGTTGGTTTCAGAATTTTCCCACTTGTTTAAATTTATCCTATTTTTATTGTTTTTGTTGCTCCATCAAAGGACAGCAAATTACAACTAATAAGCTTTTGGCCCAGCGGTTAGCAAGCTAGTCCAGTTGAATTTCCTGTGAATGTGCAGATTTAAATTCTGGAGTCGCACTTGTTGAAATGGGTTAAAACTTTGTCGCTTCCGCCAAAAACAGGATTAACTCTATCTCCAATGTAGGATGAGGATGCTTGGGTAAAAAAAAAAAAAGGAGGATAGCTGATTACAAGGTTTACTTCTCTGAGGCTGAACAAAAGCTTTTATTGTTTCTGGCCCATATGTATCTGTTCTGTTTCACCCTTAGATTTGTCAATGATGAACATCTATTACAATATTTGAACAGATATCTGGTTAGTAATGGGAAACCGAAATGCAATAATGTTACAGAATCTTTTGTTGGCCTAGACGTTAGGAGCCTTATGCGGTGGGGCTATTGACTGCTCTTTTCACCTGTCCTTTATTCATCTTAGGAACTTTTAGAAAAAGGATTTAAGTGATTGATAGTTTTTTTCGTTGGCCATTTATATTACAGAAACTTATCTTATCTACAAGATTTTCATGTTCTTTGATACTGTGATGCATGGACAGAAAATAATTAGCTCATTAGCTAAAAATCGTTATCATCATGATGCAATGATATTATCATTCCTTTGGAAGTTTTCAGAAAATCAACAGGCAAACCCTTATCTTCAAGTACTCATCCATCTTATTACCATTCTATTTTTATCTCTTTATACAGCGAATCTCAATTAATTGTCTTGTCAACTTAATCAATATTGACAAGCCATACATTTGGTGATTAGATTGTCTTCTTGATACATACGTAGTGACTGCGAGAACCATAGAATGAATCTGGTTAGGTTTCTGTAGTCATGTTAGTTAAACTGTAACGATAGTCTAAGAGTATCTGCTTAATCATAGAGTATCTCAATCAAGAAAACGACCCAACTTCTCGAAGGAAATTAAATATCTGGTTAGAGAATAAAAGGTTGAATTTTGAGGAAGCATCAGAATTCTGAGGCTGGTGGTGTGATGCTGGCTTTAGGCTGCAAGTTGGTTAGACTAGCCCCAACCTATACGTCTACGTATGCTAAAATGTTGAAGGGAGAATTTAGTTTAGTCTTAAAAATCCAGGAGTTAGAAAGGAACGGGAGATAAGATTAGGAATAGTTAATGAATGGCGGTGCGTATGATTCCTTACGTATCTTCATGAGACCGTGGCAACAAAATCATCAGTCTGTCAAAGTAAGAAACATAGGACTTCCATACCAATAGCAAACCGTTTTCCTGGCAGGATTCGTTCTCACAGGACGCCGTTGCTGTGCGTTTAATTGGTATTCTTAGTAAAATTGTTGATTAGTGTTGTTTCTTGGATAAAAATGCATCAAGTTTGGGAGCAATGGAAATAAATTAGGAAGGCCCCGATGTCAATTTGAAGGGGTCACGATCATAGGATTCTGGCCACATGCTAGTGGGTCTGTCGGTGATGATTAGTTGAAAATAACTTTAGCAACTCTATGGGAATCTGGACAAAGAAAAAATGATTAGAGATACACATTCTTGCTGATATTTGTCCACATCATCACAAGTGGACTAATATCTCTGGATTCCTTCCCCTACCAACACTAATTTTCCTCTGCCAGTGGTCCTTCCCTACTAGTCGGAGAAGTTGTGATACCATGGACTCTCTTCAACTATTACTGATCAAGACTCTAAATTTTGCTAACAAACTGTTTAAGTGAATTTCCGAGAGTTGAGACAACAAATATTGCATATTATTGTGTACTTTAAGATGGGATTCTTGTGGCCTTTTATCATCGAGAGCCGACAGAACCAGGAATCCACCACAACTTTATGGAGAAGAAAAGAGTCCACCTAGCCTAGGCTGGCTGGTCCTAAGGTGGCCGTAAAGGCACTCTTTTATTGATTTTCTTCGCGGAATCATTGAATACAGAGAAAATTTTCGGAATAAGGTAATTGTAATTGGAACATTTTAGTCGTTGAAAGGAAGTGTCTGTGGGAATATACAGAGGAAAATGCTTATTGTGTGAATGAGATTTGTACAACCATACACTCAATGATGATAAGTATTTGTTTGTGTATGTGATTGGATCAATTTTTTCCTTACATGTGATTCTAGTTGTGAGTAGGTTCGAGCCATATAGAGAAGCAAGCTAGGTTTTCTGAATTGATAATACGTCTGTGGCTTGTATAAGCTGGACAGGATATGATGTAAATATATTTATAGGGCATGGACCATGCTATTGCTATAAATTTAAAGAAAAACCAAAAAACCACAGCTAAAAATAAACCTTCTTTTTTAGTGTAACCAATCAGCATTTTAGCGGTTTTGTATGCACCCATGACAATTTCTCTTAAAGTCATTAAAGATCATGTTTGTACTGGAGAAGAGAACTTGGATGTGGTTGAGCCATGAGGCAAACTCTTTCGTTTATTTATTATTTCTATCTTCTTTAAATTTTAAGCTAATATCCGTTCGCTGATTCTGTAGTGATACGTGATTCCTTTAGAACAGACCAAGATATTGTGGGGCATGGATTCTTCTATTCCTCATGATGATCTTGTGTTGTCCCTCTCGCAAAAGTGCAGCAACTAGTCAATGCTGATGTCTCAAGTTTCCTTTGATGATCTGCCACTAGCAATACACTTTATGAGTCAGATTAGTGTTCTTCAGGATATGAGATTTTCTTAGTGTCAGAAAAAATGCTACCTTTCACCCCGGAATTGGATGATGAAGCACTTATACAGTCCTGTACCTAGTAGAATTATTAGATTCTAGAAATGTTTTTCACCAAATTCAGAGTCATTTCAAACTTTTGCCTGCCTTCTGTTGAAAGTTGACAATTTCAAGCATAGCCGATCAGGATCCGTTCTCCAAATCATATAGTGCGTGCTATTTAACTGGTAAACCAAAGCATGGATCACAGAATTTGCACTATTGTTCAGAAGAGAAGTTGGTGTGATAAATGTTTAATTCAGTGATACTCTTCCCATAAAGCAGAGAGGTGGAGTAGGATTCCAGTCCGAGCAAAACGCCTCTTTGCTTTAAGAATCAAAAAGTTCGACCAGGCAACATTATAAATGTAATTTTCAAATTTTATGGAAGGCCAACTATTTTAATGGTAGTGAAAAAAGTTTGTCTCTTTCATTAATATCTTCCATTTAAATCTTGAAATTATTATTTGATATAATTTATTCTCTTAAATACATATATGGGAGATATATCTTAAAAATTGTCTAGAAAAAAAATTAGTTTATGGTGATGTGCAAGTTCATTCATTCCAAGATATTCTTGGCCATACAAACCAAAAAAATAATGTTTGGGATTACAACAGGACTGTTGGATGGTTCTGGACACGCTTTGACCAAATTCTCAACTCTTTGCTGGTTGGGAAAAAAAAATCCTTAACTGAAGGGCCGTGGCCTGATTTATATAGACTTATGCACAGAGCAAGATTCAGTTAAAGCTTCAAACTAGCTAGACAAGCCCAATAGTAAGGTTACACATACAAAAAATATATATATATATATATATATATACACAGAGAAAAAATGTACAAAGAATTAAACACAAAAATATATATGTAAATGGCAAATGGTCACACCAAGCGAACAGCACCGAACAAGATTTGATAATTGACCTACTAGCATTCACCATTGATATTTTGGCCAAGGAAAATGCTGAACATGGCAAATTCATGGAGCACGTACGACCCGAATAGAGTGTTGCAGCAAGTCTACTAATCCTGGGTTCTTTCACTCCTAAATCGCTGGTTCCGAGGACAATTCCTTTATAGCGACAGAAGTTTAGGTTTTTCATGCTACATACGTCCATTTGTAAATTTCGTTAAAGCCATATTAGTGAACTCTAGCTTTGCCATTTTGTATTTTGGAAGCTTATCAGTTCAGGAAAATAAATTTATAAACACGGTAAAAGGAAGGAGCTACCACAAACAGCAATAATGGGTGTATGAATCCATGATTTATAAGGCCAGATGAATTCAGTTTGGACTCTTGTTTATTCATTTCGGGATTTATTACATTGAATATCATACCAGCTTCTTCATTTGGTTGGGCCACATTCAAAGCTGGGCTATGCCCACAAATTAATCTCTGCCCGATCGCACAAAACAATTCTTGCCTTTTGTTCCAAGCAATTTATAAATTAGTCCCTCTGGTTTAGAAAAATAAATTAATCTATCTCTTTTCTTTCAAACACTAATTATTTAATCTCTATATTTTAATTTCATCAATAATTTAGTCTTTTTATGACTTTTTCATTAGATTAATAATTTTTATTCTCAAATTGCCTTTTTTTTTTAATTCTTGGTTGAGAAGAAAGAAAGTGAGTGGGTGAAAAAATAATAATAATATACCAAGAAATGACACTTTGAAGGAAAAAATCATTAATTTAACCAAAAAAAAAAAAAACTGAGGAAAGAACTAAATTATTAATGAAATTAAAACGTAAAGGATTAAATGATTAGTTTTTAAAACAAAAAACTAATTAATTTGTTTTTTGAAACAAGAGGGACTAATTTATAGTTTAGTTTTTTTTTTTTTTTTTTTAACTACATTATAAAATACTCTCCAGAACTTAGGCAAAAAAAATAAACAATATAAATTCTTAGTTTTTCACTTTAAACAATATAATTATTGTAGCCTTTCTTTTAGAGTTGTGTTGAAGAAAAAAAAGTCTAAAATTCCTCTTTGTTCCTCTACGTTCTCTGTGCAAGATGAAGGGCTAAAAAATAAAAATAAATGAAAGACATTCAAATCTTGCTCTGTTGTTTAATTTACTTGAAAATCAACAACAGCAACCCAAATTAAATTCAAACTAACCCAACAATCAAAATGAAAACTTAACCCTCCTGTTGTTTGATTTCCAATCAAACCAAAATAACAAATTCATACAAAATCATCATTCAATGATTGTTTGAAAGAAAACCCAAAACAAGTTCGAAAGCAATATTCAACAATTTCGTCTGCATCTGAGACTCAAGGGGTGGCTTAGTGCGGAATCAGTCACGGCCTCCCCCACCAGCAATCACAACAGCGATTTCATTGTCAATTTTATGGTGCCATTTTTGTACCTTTTTGAACAAAACCCGACAATATTAATATTCAAGAATACAAATTTGACGCGATGTTTGATGAAATAGAAGTTAAGATTCTTTGGGTGGAGGATTGTAGATTGTTTGTATTATTATTTGAAAAAAAAGGATGATTTCGTCTTTTGCAGATTTGAACACGAGAGGACAAAGGGATGGAGTAGAGAGTGGGAAAGAGCCGATGCTTTTCTTCTGATTTTTTTAGACGATTTTTTTCAATTTCACTCAACACCCTAATGGAACGATGTATTCAAAAAATCGTACTGTTTACACAGAAATATTTGGTTCGAAGGTATTTTCCATTGTGTATAATTTACAATTTAGTTTTTTATTTCTTCATTTATTTTTCAAGATTCAGGGGATATTTCACAATTGAGTTTATTCTTCCCCCCCCCCAATCAAGTCCAGAGTCTCCAGCCTTCAGAGCCCCTCGCTCATGCAGTCTCGCTCCCCTAACCATGACGCAATCATTTGGTCACTAAAGCTCCACCGTAGGTCTAAATCCAGCTCTTACAACGTGTTAACTACCGAAGAAAATCCTAACAACATCCAAACAATTTTATCATATCACAAAGTAACTTGCGAACAACGGAGTCGGCAACTGACCTAGGCATCTACTAAATTATAACCATCAAAATTTTACATCAGTGGCATATTCAGAACTCAAGTCAAAATGTTTGCTATGGCTAATAGTTTTAAATTTGATTTATAGAGTAAATTCATTTGAGTGAATAAGGAATTCAACTTCACCCAATTAATTTCCTTTACAAGCCCTAAAAATTTGCAAAATTAAACAACCCCGATCAAATTTAGATGAGGCTCATTCCAAAAACTATCTACGATTACCGTTACGAATTTTATCTCCAAATACAACAGCCCCCCTTTCTTTTCTTTTGCTAAATTTAATCACTGAGAGATGAAGTCATTTGTACACAACAATAGCATCAATATCTCAGAAACACAAACTAAGAATAAATTGCACAAAAAACTTTGACAACAACGATAATACTCCGATATTTTGTTTTTTCAACACAAGGAAAGTAACATAACAGTGACCATAGATCCAAAGAGCAAGTACAAAAACATAACCATTAGCTAAGACTAGTAAAAACACAACCAAACACCACCCTAACAGATCTGACAGACACTAATTCCTCCAGTTACCACCATCAGATCCACCTCTGGAATACCTAGATCCACCATCACCATACCCACGGTCACGTCCCCCACCACTGTAACCACCTCCTCCATATCCGCCGCCACCACGGCTGTAACCACCTCCGCCTTCACGGCGTCCACCTCCGCCATAACCACCACCACCACCTCCACCGCGAGACTGAGCTTCATTTACGGTGATGCTACGGCCATCGAGAGTCTGGCCGTTCATTCCCTCAATTGCCTCTCTCATTGAGCTCTCGTTACTAAATGTCACGAATCCAAAGCCCCGTGATCTCCCCGTCTCGCGATCATTGATAATCTATAAACACAGAAATCAATCAGATTTAAGAGATCATGGTTTCAAGATCAAAAAATACAGAAAATCAGACACAAAATCGAACGAGATCTTCTAGCCAGAGAGAGACTGAAGATTAACGTACCGATAAGAGGTTAGTGACAGACATAAAAGAGAGAACAGTAACACAAACAGTAACACAAACAGAAAGACATTAACAGAGCCGAATCAGGTCGGGTCGGGTCAGATCCGTCACTGCCAAGGCAAACAGACCTTCGATTCGACGACTTCACCGAAGGAACTAAAGACTTCTTCAAGGGACTGGTCTGTAGTGGCCCAAGCAAGGCCGCCGACGAAGCAACGGAACTCAACATCTGCTGCCGCCATAGGAAACCTAAACGAAATTTGGTTAGAGAGAGGGGTATTGTTTGAATAGAGAATGGTGAGATGAGATTTTTATGAAGGGGTTGGATGGTGGATTTATAGATTGGGCGATAGTGCGTATTGCAGGCATTTGATAATCTAGGGTTAACTTTCTTAGAGCTCTTTGATGAGGATCCTTTGTTTCCTATAGGGATAGATGTGATCACGAAGTTTTGGTGCTTTTCAATTATCCCCCACGTTTTCAGTCTTGCAGTTATCATAGAATTCAATAGTTATATGATTGGATAGTTAATCAATTCCAACGCATTAACAGGTTATGTAATTTTAAAATATGATAAACTTCTCCTTTTTCTTAAAATTTTACTCGTTTTAGCTTTTTTTACTTTTATAAATTTGTTAAAACTAGCAACTATCAAAAGTTATATAATTAAAAAAAATACATGGGTTTCATTGTTATTCTCAAATAATAAAAGAATAATTATATTTACGTGCAAAATAATATCTTTAATAATCTTATGTCAGATTTTTTTTTATAGTTTACTTATTAAAAACTTTAAACATGAGTTGAAAAATATTTTACAATTGTCTCGAAAAACCATCAACTTAATGAGAATTTTTCAATATATATGTGTGGTTATCTTACCTTTAAAATTAACATAAAACATTTACAATTCTAGTACACAAGAGTGAAAGATCAAATAATTTAGAAACACGAACAAAAGAGTTTTTTTTTAAAAAAACAAACTTTGATTCTCGAAACAAATCCTCAATGCTTGGACATTAGTTTTATATATATATATATATATATATATATATATATATATATATATATATATATAACTAGTAATATAAGTGAGTCAATATCTATAAATAAGATCATACATACCTTAATAAAAGACTTTAAAACCTTTCTGTATAAACAAAATTCGACAACAACTTTTTTCATTACAAACAAAAATAGCTTAGATATGATCTCATTTTTGTATAGAATTAAAAATAACTTGAATATGACATCTTGATAAGAATTAAAAAAAAGAATCAAATTATAAATCTTAACCAAATAACTATAAGTTTTTAATCAATCTTGTACTTACAAACAAACATTGTAAAAGAAGCCTCTACAAGTAAAAACAAAACTTGTTCTGTAAGAAGTGTTTAAATAAAAGAAATCACCATGTTGACTTTCAAGATGAATAAACTTGGAAGTACCAAAGAGAAAATATGATAATTTTCTTAGGACAAAATGCTTAACTGTTATGAAAAACTAAAACATTTAAGGATCAAATTTAAAAAATTTCAAATCTTGAAGGCTTATCACTTGCTCTCGAAAAAAAAGCATTGTTTCACACGTATATGCAGTGATGAGATAGTTTCTTATGAAATTTGGTTTATCATTTGCTCTTCACTGTCATAATTAAATTAAATAATCTTAATAATTTAATATTGTAAGTAGTTTTATGAGTTGATTTTTTATATCTTTTATATTCGATAGATTTGTTACTTAACAATTTCATTAACTCGTAAAATTGTTTAATTTTTTTCTTAATGTCCCAAAAAAGCTTCCCTAATTAGCATTAAGATATTTGGGATTTTTTCCACAATAAAGTTGTCGTATTTCACATGATGGGATTTTTCCCTAATCTATTAAACAGAGGGCAACATTAAAACCAGTAAGTAAGTCAAGGACATTTTGTACTCACACCCAAACCGTGGTTAACAAAAGGTTACTTTGGTTAGAGACAAGCGGGACCGTCACGTGCCTTTACATGATGGGCGGATGCCTCGATGGGCACAAAAGAGATGATATTTACAAGGTTTCGAAAATATCTAATAAGCATCAAGTACAGTTTTGCCCCTCACCACTGGATACATTGTATTACTTGTCTGCCGAAAATAGATGGGTCGAAAGCAACTTATCAGTTGTCAGTGGCGGGATAAGAGGGAGTCGTGCTTATCAACCTACTTGTCGTTTTGAATATATATATATATATATTAGGTGTGATTATTAATGAGAGTTACGAGAGAAATCTTTGTTTTATTTAGGGTTTCAATGCATTTCCAAAAATAGCCATAAGGTGGATATCAAGAAATGGAAGGAGTTATTTTCTTATATATTTTTTCAAAAACATTATTTATATTCGCAAGGCAGAATTTTTTGGTCGCACGCAAGGGTTATTAAAAGTTTAAAACTGATTTTTTAACTACGTACAAATATCATGATTGCTTTAAATGAGTGCAATATGAACAAATTGTAAATATTATATATTCTATACATACAGAAAGTTGGAAAATAGGAAAACATGGGTTGAGTCCAAATGCTGAAATCCAACAAAATGGAGAGTTATGGTTAGAGGCGGAGCTAAAGGTTTTTCTTTTGGGTGGGTGCCCATATGAACTATCTATCTGTGTTACAATGTGAGTACCTGTGAACAGCAATGTATGCTTTTTATGTTTATTTATTTTGGATTATATCTAAATTTTTATTTTCTTTAAATTCAGCTTATTTTTCAATTTTCAATCATTTACCTAGAAAAATAACGAATTACATAAATAGTTTTATAATTCACTTGATCATCTGAAGCTGACCAGCTATCAACATATTTTTTTATAGATATAGATTAGTTTAAATCAGATTTTATGGTTATTATCTTTAAGCCACTCTTTGTTGTTATATATTAGTTTTTTTTGCCGACGCTACGCTATGAATTAGATAAAATATATAAAATCATTTCAGTTTGATAACCTATTTTATTATATGAATCTATAAAAATATATGAAATCAAATATGAAAAAAAATTATTTATAATTTTTTAATAAAAAATTTGTATTTAATCTGTTTCTTATTTGTGTTTTTCATATTATTTTCTTTAGAAAAAGGAATTATCTTGTTAATCCATGGAGTATTATCTAAAAAGAAAATTAAATAATAAAAAAAAACTTTAGTATTTTATAAGATTATGTCGAAAAACATAAATAACAATTATTAAAAGCCTACACATAATTAAAATAATTATTTTTTTATTTAATATTGATGAGAATATCGGTTTTTGAAAAAATATGAATTTATTTTTTATATATTTATTTACAAAAGAATGAATAATATTAAAATAAAAACTATATTAATTTGAATCATTGAGTGATTAAAACAAAACATAATTTTACTTATTTAGTTTAAAATAAGTTAATTTTAAAATATTTTAAAATAAATAAATAAACAATAAATGCTTAGTGTAGTAGTAGTTGCACAATTAATTTCTTAAAAAAACAACAATTCAATATTTTTTTATACATTATAACTATATTAAGTGAGTTCGGACTTTTCGATCTAAAACAAAAAATACTACTAAAAAAAATAACTTGCAAAGAATCTATTAACTTCAAATAAAAATTATTACAAATTTGATTTCGATTTATTTTGATTATATAAAGAAGAAACAAATTAATAAAACATGTGAATTCTTTTTTCCTCCGTCTTTAATATTTTTTTTATTTCTATGTTATGCATAGCTAGTCCTTGAATACAAGCCTCACGGGCAGAGCAACTATCTTCTTTTTATTTTTCACATTTTACTTTCAACTATTAATTAATTAATTTGAGTTTTTTCTTAAAAAAAACAAGAAAAAATTATTTAAAATACACTTTTAATGTAAAAGTGTATTTTAGATAAATTATATATATTAATCATGCCACTATAATTTAAAAATTATCTAAATCTATTTTTCAAAGAAAAAATAATCATGTTCTAAAAAATTATTCCAAAATGTATACATATAGAAAAATAAATCAAAACTATCAATAAATATAATTTTAAATTAATTGGATGAGAATTAAAAAAAAATGACAAATTAAAGTAGTAAATTTTAAATAATAAAAATAATTAACAAAAAAAACTAAAACAAAATGGAACCAAATCATAATATAATCAAAGTTTGAAATTAAAAAAAAATTAAAAAGAACAAATTAATGTAGTAAATTTTAAATTATATAAGAAGATTGAGAAAAAATTATTTGAAATACATTTTTAATCTGAAAATTTATTTCAAAAAAATTATATATATTAATTTAAAAATTATTTAAATCTATATTTTAAAAGCAAAAAAAATCATGTTCGAAGAATTATTTCAAAATACATACATATAAAAAAAAATCAAAACTATCAATATATATAATTTTAAATTAATTAAATGAGAATTTTAAAAAAATGATAAATTAAAGTAGTAAATTTTAAATAATAAAAACAATTAACAAAAAAAATTAAATCAAAATAGACAAAATCACAATATAATTAAAATTTAAAATTAAAAAAATGATAAATTAACGTAGTAAATTTTAAATAATATTAAAAAAATCAAGAAAAAATTATTTAAAATACATTTTTAATCTAAATATTTATTTTAAAAAATTATACACATTAATCATTCAACTATAATTTAAAAATTATCCAAATCTATTTTTCAACAGAAAAAATAATCATGTTTTAAAAAAAAATTTTAAATCCATACATATAAAAAAATAAATCAAAACAGCTAATAAATATAATTTTAAATTTAATTAGATGAAAATTTTTAAAAAATAAATTTTAAATAATAAAAATAATTAATAAATTAATGTTTAAAATTAAAAAAAAAGAATTTAAAAAAAATAAATTAAATTATAATATAATTAAAGTTTGAAATAAAAAAAAATTAAGAATCAAAATGTTACAAAAGTGATATAAATAACCAAAAGAATAATAATATATAACTATGTAATTAATAATTTATGAGTATATGAATAACATTCTAAATAATGACATAAACAGTAAAACATGATTTTACCAGCTTGCTTTTTTAATAATAGTTTTACGACGAAAATGATGTGATTTTATGATATAAATCACAAAATAAAGTTTCGTGAGACTTTTTAAAAACTTAATTATTTTCTATATTATTAATATTCAAAAAACAAACGACTATTAACTTTTGTACTCCGAAAAATTCTAAACAAAATTTACAGGATAGATTAAATTTTTAAAGAGAAAATGATACAAAAAATCATTAAATAAATTAAATTTTAAAAAATTAAAAGTTCATAAATTCCATTACCAACAAAAAAATTCAAAATCACAACCTGTTTAGCCCTATGCAAGATACGTTAATTGGCCAAGATCCTGTATCTACAAATGAGTATACATCAAACGGATTCCCACAGATTCCATCAGGCATCACCCACTTTCGGATTTAAAAGATGCCGAGCTTGCACGCCGCACACGTCTTTAATTGATTGAAACCAATCAGCAAATTTCTTCACATTAATGAATAAAAAATTCTGATTCATTAACTCATTTTTCTTTTAAAATTCTGCTATAGAATTTGAAAATATTACCCCGAATTTAATATAAAAACAACATGCTAAAATATTTCCATATCGTTTGAAAGATAATTAGAATTCAGCGTCACCGTAACTCCAGATCACTTTAAATTCTTCAAAAACAGTGTTGCTGTTATTACCTGAACAGGAAGGTAACTTCCGCAAATTGAAAGAATAACACAGGGCTCACATACACAGACAACAAAAAGTTGCAAATGAAGATCTAAACTTCATTCAACTCTTTAATTTTTTTTTCAAGAGAACACCATAACAAAATAACCATCGGTCAAAAAAGCCAGAACCAGAACATCATAACAATAAAGAGCGAGCACGAAACCAAACAGAACCCATATCTAAATCTAAAACTTTTAATATCATAAAACACCAAACAACAACTAAATCAACCTAACTTCTCCAGCTACCCCCTCAGATCCACCTCTGGAAGAGTACCTAGATCCACCATCACCATACCCACGTTCACGTCCACCGCCATAGCCTCCACCACCATATCCGCCACCGCCTCCACCATAGCCACCTCCACCACGGCTGTATCCACCGCCTCCTTCGCGGCGTGCACCTCCTCCATAACCGCCGCCGCCGCGGCTGAAACCACCACCACCACCACCGCTTCCACGAGATTGAGCTTCATTCACAGTAATGTTACGGCCATCAAGGTCCTGTCCGTTCATTCCATCAATCGCGTCTCTCATTGACTTCTCATTGTTGAAAGTCACAAATCCAAAACCACGAGATCTTCCAGTTTCACGGTCATTGATAATCTGCAGCCAATAATTCTAATCAGAACTGAAAGAATAAAAGACAACAAAAACTTAACAAATCGATCGATCTTCGAGCCAGAGAGACACTGAAGATGAACGTACCGATTGGTGGTTAGTGACAGTAACATAAAAGAGAACAGAGAACAGTAACAAATAGTAACACAAACAGATCTAAGAGATTATGGATCGCCAGAGCCGAATCGTATCAGGCCAGGTTAGATCCGTGCTGCGAAGGCAAACGGACCTTCGAATCGATAATTTCACCATACTGGCTAAAAGCTTCTTGGAGGGCTTGGTCAGTGGTGGCCCAAGCGAGGCCGCCAACAAAGCACCGGTACTCAACCTCTGCAGCCATTGCTAAACTCTAGACAATTTTAATAGAGACGAAGGATATACTGAGAGAGTAGAAGAATGAAGAAATTAGGAGGGGCTGGATGATGATTTTATAGATGGGAGTCAGTGCGTATTGCGCTCGTTGGGAGTTAACTAGGGTTAAATCTCTTAGCGGTGAATGTGCGAACTTGTTTGGTTACGAGGGAATCCCTGTTGCCTGCTGTGAACGGACGTAGATGGGGGGCGTTTGGTCAAGGGCAAGTTGACTTATAAAGGAAACAAATTAAAATGATACAGACCAAATATTTTTATTGTTAATTTTGGTGAATTTCACGTCCTGTCAATGCTTATAGATGGATAAATTTGAGTCTAGATTTATCTTCAGGAAATTAATCTCAAATTCTTAATATAATTTATAATCAATTATTTTGCTTTTATATCAATCAATCAAATTATAAAATTTATTGGTGACTTGTTTAAGATCTAGTCTATAAAAAATTTAATTTTATTGTGTAAAAACTAGACCAATAATACACTTCCTAGCGTAATCAAAATAAGTTTAACTAGTATATCAAAACTAATTATTTTAGTGTTGTTGAAGAAATCAAAACACCGTAAACCCTGTTATAAATTACAAAAAGTTTAAAAAATACGAGTGGATTTATCATGATAAATATAAATAAACATCATAATATATGGAAATTTTGCTTATAAAACACGTACATTGATTGAAAATTGGCTTTGTATTTGAAAAACAATAATTATAGAGTGTAAAAAAATAACAAGAGGAAGATGTTTCTCGTTAAGAGAGCTTTTGTAAAAAAATATATAAATTAATGAATTTACTGTGTGATAAGTAAAGAAAATGAACTTATTTATAAATCATATTGGATAAATTGAAAATACATCATAAACACGGACATTGAAATTATTTATTTTTAATATCTTGCAATTTTGTAGATTTGGTAATGTATAGAAACCTTTCTCTCATTAAATTCATTTATTATTAAATAAATTCAAAAAAAAGCAAAGCTTGCAGTAGCATTTGGATGGAAATGCATCTAATTTTCTTATTTTCTTATCTTTGTCAAAAAAATAATTCTTTCTATGATTTTGATTGGAAGATGTCAAAATTAAAAAATAAAAATCTTCACTTTATTAGTGAAGTGAGTCCATTAACCTCTTGCCCAGCACTCATAATTAACTAGATTTTTTTACGTGGCTAAACGCTTTTAAATCTCTTCATCAAATTTTTACTCGTTAAAGTGGGTTGTTTTTTTTTTTTTTTTTTTCTGTAAAGACAATGTGACCAAAACCAATAACGTTAAAAAATTGAGAAATTTTTTTATTAATGTCTTGTTTTTCACCAAACTACAACACAAACCATAATAAACCAATTGTGCATGCTAAATTGTCTGTTTTTTCTTAATAATTAGTTTGAACCATAATTGAATTGCATGCCAAAATTCTTTATTATTTTTATATATCAGTCTGTTAATACTAATGCTTAGTATGTTAATACTGATGACATGCCTAAAAAAAACATATAATATATTAATATATTCTTATAAAATTGCAATGTTATATTTGATCGGTTATTTATTTATTTAAATCTTTTAAATTTTAATATGTAACTCATCATTTACTAGTTCTAAGAGAGAACCAAAAAAAAAATCATGTAGTATTTTCAAACTGGTAGATCTATTTTGGTATCTCTAGTTTTGTTTATAGAAAATCAAGTTATTCATGTTGGTAGTTTTCTTTGACATATTCAACATTTCAACTTTTTTCCTCCCAAACGATAAAAGACACGAGATAGGGGTGTTCGTTCGATTTTGAAATGTTTTAGTTGTTTTTCGATTGAATAAGCTTTCAAAAAAGAAAGCCAAAACTAAACCGAAATATTATTAAGTATTTTAGTTAGAAAACCAAAATTTCGATTTCGGTTTTCAATTATTTGATTTTTCTCCCTTTTTTTAGAAAAATCTAAAAAAAAAGTCACGTTGAACTATTAATATTTGGCATAAAATCTTATGTTTTGTTAATGATTATAGACTTTTTGCCCAAATAACTATGCTCCTATGGTTGGAGATTTGGTATTTGAATATATTTGTAAAATCGGGTTTGGAATATAAATGTCTACATTAAATTCCCATGCATTTCTCTGTTATTTCTTTGTAATTGAGATAAAATAAAAATTGAATTTATGTAGATGATCCTGTTGAACATTTATGTAGATGATTACAAGACTTTGATACTACTGCATATTACTCAATGAGAGAAAAGAAAAGGGTAACTGTTATCTCTTAAAAGAATATATATGGTAAAAAAAAGTGATTTGGTTTTTAGTGAATTTAGAAAATAAAAAGCCGAAAACCTAAAAATTGAAATAATTTCAATTCAATTTTTATTTTTTAAATTTTACAAAAATTTAATCGAAATTTATATTTTGGTTTGATTTGGTTTTTTTAATTAAAACCGAATAGCAAACACCTCTGGACACAGGAACACAATATATAGCTATCCTATCCACGTTTCTGCTTACCTCCCCTTGTCGCAAGCATATTCGTACACATATATAACCAAATATTTTCGCCTTATTTGACACGGTAAACCATAGTTAGCAAAACGCGGTGACTTGAGTTAGAAACACGCAGAAAGTGTGGGGCCAAGAGGGGACCACTAAACCATCAGAAAGTATGGGGCCAAGGGGGGACCACTATCACGTGCGTGGACAGATAAACACAAAAAAAAAAGACCGAGGGCCGTTTGGGATTGATGTGCTGTGATTTTGGTGTCGTGCATAAAATCAATCATATAAATAAAAAGTTTTTAAAATAAAATTACATAAAACACTCATATCTTTGGTATGTATAATTTAAAATAAATAATAGAAAAAATTATTATTTTAATTATACAAGAAATATTTTAAAATAAGCAATTTTACTCTGGTTAAAGGCAAAGTATCCTATTTCGTTTTAAAAACAAATACCTTTGAAAGCAAAACGCAATCAAAATAAATACCAATCAAACGCTATTTTTGGGGAAAAAATAAAAATCAGCCGTGCTTTAAAAGCAAAACCATACCAACCGACATTGACGTTTGCGGGCTTCGAAAATATCTAGAGTAAATTTCACTCTTGCCCCTACGTGTTATCGGTGCTTCATTTATGCTTCCCTGGTTTGAAATTTTCTCATTTTACCCCATAACTTCCTACAAGTTTCAATATTGACCCTAATTATGTAAATCATATTTTTTTTCATTCTGCTTCTATGTTTTGTATGAATAATATTTAATTTTAATAATTACATTCCATACTTTTTCTTTTTTCTTTCACATGTATGGGAATTTTAAGCGAAAGAAAACAAGAGAATAAAAGAAAGCGCAAGAAAAAATAGATATCATCTCTTATTTGTTGCATCAATGTTAAATTATGATTAGTTTTAAGTTAATCTCTCTTCGATCTTATTTAAAATTTTTCTAGGAAGTGGAAAGGAAATTAAAGGGATAAACACTTAACTCACAATGAAATGGAGAAAAATGTTAAGGGAAAACTTTTGGAATTTGGGAAAAAAAATTTCAAGCTCGTTGTTTATTTTATGTTTCTTTTGCATATGCATAATCAACAAATTCCATAAAATATTTATATATTAATTTTTATTATGTTTAATTTACACATTGGTTTAGAATTTATTAAATGCCATATATATATATATATATATATATATATATATATATATATATATATATATATATATATATATATATATATATATATATATATATATATATATATATATTATCCATTTATTAAAAATTCTTAACACTTTGCTTTCTAATGAATATTTCACATCCTCAACGTTTAATCTGTAATTGTTAATTCGGAACAAATTTCAATCTTAAAAGCTAAGGTCAATTCAGAAAATTTTTGAACTATGAAATCAATATTGGAAAATTTCCAAACTAAGGCATCAAATTTAAATATTACTAAATTTACAAGGTTTAAAATAGTTTTTCTTAAATATCTTATATGCCATAAGTACAAGTGTGCCCCTCTACCTTATACATAATTTCTTTTTTTATTAGAAGTTAATATGTCTTTTTCGAGTGCGACTTTTTTGGGACAAGACATGAAGTAAATTAACAATTCTTTTATATAATTTCACAAGAATTAATGATGATTATTTTAATATTATTTTATTCTATTTAATATCTTTGTTTCATGTATCTTTCTATATTATTTATTTATTTATTATCTTTTAATATTTATTAAAATAAAAAACAAAGTAAATTGAAAAATAATAAAAATGATTAAGTTATAAATTCATTTAAAAATTTAAGGATTAGTTGTTAGTGATTGAAACGATAAAGACTATTTAATTTTTTTAACAAAACTATTACTAAAAAAAACTAGAGTTAATCATGATTTTACTATTCATTTTGACTTTTAAAATACTATTCACAAATCGTGACTCACACACTCATAAAATCACTGTTTATGTTTTTTTTAGCACTTTGATCCTCAATTTTTCTATATATTTTTTTTAATTTTAAACTTTAATTGTATTATAATTTCATCATATTTTGTTTTAATTATTTTAATTATTTAAATTTACTACTTTAATTTGTCATTTTTTAATATAGTCATATGTTATTAATATTATGATCCTATTATAATAATATTATTTTTCTATACTAAGCACTTACTATTTATTTATTTATTTTTGAATTAAATAATTAAAATAATGTTTTGGCTTAACCACTCAATGATTCAAATTAATATAGTTCTTTATTTTAATAATATTCATTATTTTGTAAATAAATATATAAAATTAAATTCACATTTATTGAAAAATCGATATTCTCATCAACATTAAATGAAAAAAATTATTTGTTCAATTCTATGTAAGCTTTTAAGTATTATTATTAAAATTTCAAACTTTAATTGTCTTGTGATTTGGTCCTATTTTATTTTAGTGTTTTCTTTTAATTATTTTAATTATTTAAAATTTATTGCTTTA